TTACTCCTTCAAGCTTTGTTCCAGAGAGTATGACAAGGGGCTTAACTTGCATGGGTTCACGTACTGAGTATCTTAGATAAGATATTACTACAAAATTGTTTGGATAGATCATGAAAAGATAAAATACTTTTTATTTTTCTTCACAGTGCTGGGGGGAGCTTAACCCAAGGCCTTGAATACACTAAGCAAATGCTGTACCACTGAGTCACACTCCCAGCCAATAAATACTTTCTTGACTTAAGAATTTCTTATATAAGAGGGGTGGGGAAAAGGGAATTACCTGCATGTGCATATACTCAACTTAAAAGTGATTCTGGTTAGGTATCTCAAGACTGTTGTGGGATATTTATACACTGTGAAGATGTGTCTTTACCAAGGAGCCTTCTGGTGGGTTTAATAAAAGGCTGAATGGCCAGTAACTAGGCAGCGGAGCATAGACAGTGTTTCCAGGGAGGAGGAAGAGGAGGAGGAATCGAGGCATGCAGATTTTGCCCTAGACCCTAAAGACATGGGACATAGGGTACAGAACAGAGGTAGCCGTGCCTTGTGGCAGAGTGTAAATTAATAGAGACAGGTTGATTTAAGTTGTAAGAGCTAGTCAGAAAAAATTCTAAGCTAAGGCCAAGCTTTCATAATTAGGAAGTCTACAGTCATTATTTTGGGGCTGGTAGTCCAAAGATAGTCCAACAAGAAAGCTTGCTACCCAAGATGCGACAATTCCAAGGTTCATAAAAAGATAATTAAGAAGAGTGTGAATAGACTCTAGGAGCTTGGTAAAATTTTCATGGAACTGACATTTTAAAGCATCATGAAGTATAGGTGGGAGTTTAACTTTTTTTCTTTGCCCTTATTGTAGTAAAAATGCTAATAGCAACATCCAGCTAGGTGGTGGTGGTGGCACATGCCTTTAATCCCAGCACTTGGGAGGCAGAGGCAGGCGGATCTCTGTGAGTTTGAGGCCAGCCTGGTCTACAGAGTGAGTTCCAGCCAAGGCTACACAGAAAAATCCTGTCTCCCAAAAAAAAAAAAAAAAAAAAAAAAGGAGAAGAAGAAAAAGGGAGGAAGGAAAGAAGGGAGGGAGGGAGGAAGAAAAGAAGAGAAAGGAAAGAAGGAAGGAAGGAAGAGAAAAATGTCCAAAATTAGCATCAGGTCATAGAGACAAGGAAACATAATCCAGATAAATCCATTTGCTGGGTAATAGAGCCTACAAGTGGAGTTGGTTTGTTTTTTCCCTTGTATTCTACAGTCTAATATATTTATGTTTCAATTTGCTCATCAAATATTTATTGAAAACATGCTGCTAGGCAATGTTCTAGAGACTGAGATACAGCAGAGCCAGAGTCCTGCCATCACAGAGTTCGCCTGTCCTTCTTCCTGAGTATGTTTATTTGTTTAAACTGTTTACTAGCATTTTATTTGTTGATACTCACTATTAGTGACTAATAGGTTATGATTCACCAAATCATTTACATAAACTGTACAATTACATCTAAATTAGGCCATTTGGAGCCCAAGAACCAGAATTCGGAGCTTTAGCTTTTCCCACTTGCAACTCTTTTTTACCTTCCCTGGGTATGTAGGCATATCAAATAGGTATACAAATCAGTTACTGATAATAAATGATAAAAAATTGCTTCAAAACAATTATTTGGTGTCCATGTAATTTTAGCATTTGCATTAGCAAATTTGCATTCTAATGCAGCAGACATGCTTGTTCATATACTTACTGAACTACTGGAGATTGACTTATCACCTTGGGCTTGCTGGGCACTGCTCCACCACTGAGCCGCATCCCCAGCTTGATTATTTATTTTTATGTAAGGAACAAATTCCACCTTGGCTGAGTTTTTGATACTGCAGACATAGAGCATCTTCAGCATTGTCCAGAGCTGATGGATACTTTGATTCTGTAGTCATCAATACAGAGTATGCTGCTTCATGTCAATAGGTAGTACAAAGTGACAGACCATATTTGGGGACATTTGAAAATTTGTGGGGCATTCTGACCTAAAGCCAAGCAAAACTCATTTTAACAATTTTTTTTTTTTTTATGAAACTCAAGTTAGCAACTCAAGCAGCAGGTTTTGGAATTGAACATTTTAGCACAATGCAGTCCAGAGATACGCTGAGGCTTATTTGTGCTTCTCTGCTGAGCAAAGTGCGTAGAGAGCCCATCCACTGCTGTGGCTCTGGGAAATACCACCTCGGTTGCCCTAACAAATGGCAGAAATGCTTCCTGTACCTGCTTTACCATCAGAGCCTTGGCCCTGATGACCTGAAACCCTGTTCAGATTTGCTGGATACCAGTTTGGATAGAAGGAGGAAAAAAACCACAGTAGGATTAAACAAAACACGGCACTAGCTTTAATCCAGTTTCTTTACTAGTTACCACCTGAATTTGGGGGTAGGGACAAGAATAGGGTATTTAAAAAGTTGAATTCAGAGAACCATGGCCAGGCTGTTCCTTGACAAATCAACCTTTCCTACAACAGAAATAGACACATGGCTGCTCATGATAGTTAGTTTTCATTGTCAACCTGGGATTTCTTGGGAAGAGGGTTGCAGGAAGGATTGTCTAGATGAGGTTGGCCTGTAGGCATTCTCTGGAAGATTGTTTTTTTTATTTATTCTGGATTTTTTTTTTTTGAGATGGGATCTCACTTTGTAGCCTTGGTGTCATAGAACTCACTATGTAAATCAAGCTGACCTTGAACTCAAAGAGATACACTTCCTCTGCCACCTGAGTGCTGGAGTTAAGGGTGTGCTCGCCACAACCAGCTGGAAGATTGTTTGGGTAGCCTTATTTGATGTGAAGTGTACAGGACCAGTTGGGCCCTGGACTGCATGAGTAGAAAGCTAGCTGAATACCAAGCATGCCTGCATTCCTTCTCTCTGCTCTTGACTATGATGTGATATGGCCAGCTGTCTCAGGTCCTGCTCCAACACTTGCCCCTAGTAATGGACTATACTGTGGAATTATTAGCCAGAATAAACCCTTTCTTCCCTAAATTGCTTTTTGTTGGGATGTTTTATCACAGCAATAAAAGTAAAACTAAAAGGTGCACCGGAGGGAAGCTGTGAGCCCTGTGTCTAGACTGCTGTTGTGTGCCCTTAGGTTCCCATGGATCCCTTTCCTCTCCCTAGACCCAAGCCATCTTTCGCTCCTCCCTCCCACCCTCAGACACTTGACATTGTGACACAATGTGTTAGGCTATACTCTTGTCCTGGGAAACATGCAGCCCATGGGCCACAGGTCAGACACACCTGTATCCCACTATATCAGCCTACTTTATCCATGAGGCAAATGAAGAATCATGCCAGCAGAAAAGCTCCTAGAAAGAGATTAACTGGGGGAGGCACATTGTTGTAGTCATTGTTCCTTCACTGAGATATTGGGAAATGTCTGGAATGAGTGTTGATCCAAGTATTACCGGGAGTGGAATGGGGTACATAGAGCAGAAACAGTATTTAATAGTCATTTACCTCCATGGTAGAAGCACAAAGAAAGTATCCATTGGTCAAATAACACTCTTTGGTTTGTGTCTAGACGCTCCACACTCTGTCTTATTAGCTTTACATGTACTTAGTTGTAGGTGACTCAGAAGCAACTCTGTTCAGAATGCAGTGTATGTGTTCTGTATGGATGTAATTGTGTGTAACTATAATGTAATGTACCCATTGCAGTGTATGTTGTGCCTCTGAGTCTATCCCAAGTTAGTGACAGTATCTTTACTGTGTTAACACATTCCAGACACTTGGTACTTCTCTCATTCTCTAAACAAGATGTTCTTTAAAATATTGCTTTCAAGCCGGGCATGATGCTACACACCTTTAAGCCCAGCACTTGGGAGGCAGAGGGAGGTGGATCTCTGAGTTTGAGGCCAGCCTGGTCTACAAAATAAATTTCAGGACAGCCAGGGGTACACAGAGAAACCCTGTCTCAAAAAACCAAAACCAAACAAAAGATAGAACTTTCTATCAGTGGACTATTGACTGGAACTGTACATGTTGTTTTCAAGGCCCACTTTGTAATTTAAAATTATTTTTAATTATATGTATTTATTTACTCTGTGGAGGGGCAAACGTGCCATAGCACATGGAAGGAGAACAACTTCTACCATGGTTGTGAGGCCCTAGGATTGAACTCAGATTATGAGTCTGGCAACAAGTGCTTTTATCCACTGAGCCATCTCACTGGTCCTTCTTCCAACTCTTTTCTGGAGACAGGGTTTCTCTGTGTAGCTTTGGAGCCTGTCCTGGCCCTCACTCTGTACACCAGGCTGACCTTTCAAACTAACAGAGATTGGCCTGTCTCTGCCTCCCAAGTGCTGGGATTAAAGGCGTGCACCATCACCACCCAGCTGGATGTTTCTTTTATAGCATTTTTACTACAATAAGGGCAAAGAAAAAAAGTTAACTTCTACCACCCAGCCCTACTTCCAACTCTTAATAGTTGCTTACTATGAATGTGATCCAGGTCTCCTTTGTCTTCAGTTCTCCCCGCTGTCAAAGGGCAAAAAAGGATTGTTTGCATTGTTTTCCTCCCTCTAATGTCATCTTAATATAAACTGAGAGTTTAACAGATTAAAGATGTCTTGTGTATTTAAATCATCACATATTCCTGGGTTTGCATGTTCCTGGCTTAGCTGCATGACTCGTCCCAAGCATTCAGTTTGATTTTGCTCTATTGCTTTGTCTAAGATGACATATGGATTAGAATTTGGAGACCAAAAACTTGAAGTTGTAAGTGTCTTTGGGTCGTTGACAGTGGAATTGCTGTGGGTGGTCGTGGGCATTGCTTACAGGCTAAATAAAGGCTCTAGAGAAGAGCACATATGCTGAGAGGTGTTCCATCCCTCTTCCCATGGCAACTTTATCTATGAGATTATGCATTCTGTTCTCAACTCAGTGGTAAAAAATCTCAGCTCCTATTCAAAGTTGTTTGTGCCATTACTGGAACCTGTTTTATCATCTGATTTTGTTTCCTTCTGTCTTCCCAGGTGGCATTGGCAGGGTGGTCAATGGAGCCTTCATGGTGCTGAAAGGGCATCGGTCCATTGTTAACCAGGTCCGGTTTAACCCTCACACGTACATGATCTGCTCTTCTGGTGTAGAAAAGATTATCAAGGTGAGGCACCTTCCCTTTCTGTCCTCTTTAGGGAAACACTGGTAGTTCATGATTGAAAGAAACCAGAACTATGTCTATAGGGATTTATAGATAAATATATTGAGCATTTATCAAAATTCTCAATGAGTGCCAAGAATGGTGGTCTATTGTCTATAACCCTGACACTTAGAGCTGAGGTTAGGAGAATCACAAGCCCAAAGCCAGCTGTGCTACAAAGCAAGACTCTGTCTTTAAGTGGGGAGGGTGTCAGTGATATTGACATATTATAAAATATTAGAAGTTAATATTTTAAAAGTAGGTAGGGGGCAAGCTGTAGTAGTATACACCTTTAATGCCAGCACTCAGGAGGCAGAGGCAGGTGGATCTCTGTAAATTTGAGACAGCCTAGTCTACAGAGTTAGTTCCAGGACAGCCAGGGCTACATAAAGAAATCCTGTCCCCAAACCTACCCACCTTCCCCCCAAAAAAGTAAGTGGGACATGGTGGGACATGGTGTGGTACATGTTTAAATGTATTTAATACTAGCTCTCAGGAGGCAGAGGCCGGCAGATCTCTGAATTTAAGTTAACATAGTCTACACAGTGAATTCAGGCCAGGCAGATTTACACAGTAGGAGCCTGTCTTTGTTGCTGTTCTTGTTGCTGTTTTGTTTGTTTGTTTTTAGAGGCAGGGTTTCTGTGCATGCAGTCCTGACTGTCCAGGAACTCACTTTGTAGACCAGAGATCTACCTGCCTCTCTGTCTCCTGAGTGCTGGGATTAAAGGTGTGCTCCATTATACCCTGATCTTTTTTGTTTTGTTTTGTTTTTCAACTTTTTTTTATTTGAATTAGAAACAGGATTGTTTTTACATGACAATCCCAGTTCCCTTCTCTCTCCTGTCCTCCCCTACCACACCCGCACAACTATAACCCTATCTATCACATATCCTTTCTGCTCCCCCTGGATGGTGAGGCCTTCCATAGGGTGTCATCAGAGTCTATTGTATCCTTTGGGTTAGGGCCTAGGCCCACCCCTGTGTGTGTTGGCTCAGGGAATATCCCTCTATATGGCATGGGCTCCCAAAGGCCACACCTATGCTAGGGATAAGTACTGAACTTCTACAGGAGGTCCCATAGATTTTCGAGGCTTCCTCCAGAAACCCATGTTCCTGGGGTCTGGATCAGTCCCATACTGGTATTCTAGCTATCAGTCTGGGGAGCAAGAGTTCCCTGGTGTGCATACATATATATTCCATAAATAATCCCTTCATGTGCTTATCAGTAACTGCTAATCAAACCAGCTTATTTTTATGGAGGGCCTATATACAGTTCTCAGTCTAGATTTGATGGCCTTAAACCAAATTTTCAGGCTACTGGCCCAGCATCCCCTGACTTCCCTTTGGCTTTGAGTTGTATCTCCAGATCTACTTTTAAAACTAGTCGGCAGGCTTCAAAGCAGGAAGTGTATTCTGTGTTACATTCAGTGGCTTCTGATCCTGGCTGCTGAGTTCTGTTCTCCACTCCCGTGTGATCTGGAGAACCACTGTCACTTCTGTTACCTAGCCTCCAAGTTCATATGTGAAGATGTCCTGCTGTATCCTAAAGGTGGTTTTGTTGTAGTCTTTCCACCCCGTCTTGTGTAGTGACCCCTAAGTTTTAGGAGGGAGAGGATGTAGATACATCGTCTGCAATGGAGTACTCTGAAGTCTCTCATATTTACAGCTGATGAAATGTAAATTACAGAGTGCTGTTGGGGTCATGTGGCTAATGTGTGGCAATTCAGGCTAGAGCCTTATTCTACCACGTTCACCATGCTGGTGGCAAGGGAGTGGACAGCTGACTGGACCATCTCAGTTTCCTTTACTTAGACAGTCATTGAAATAGCCCTGTCCCTCACATTACTTCCCCCTTTCCTTTGGCCTATGAGTAATAGGTTGGCACTGTAACATGCCCTTTCTAGGCCTGTTGACGTCATTCTCTACAGCGAGCTTTCTGCTTGGGCATCTCCTTTAGAAGAGAAATTCCTGTTTGGCATGTGCTCGGATGCTTCTGTGCTGAGTCTACCCAGATATTGTTTAGTCAACTGAAGTCTTAACTCTAAAGGTCATAGGTTGGAAACTGGCCAAGTTCTCAAGAAAGAGGAGAAAATGTTTTCTCTGTGAGGTTATCCAGACTGAGCTGTGGAACTCACTGCTCCCAGGTTCCCATAGGAACAGAGAGGCACAGTTGACCATTTAAACCTTAAATGTGCACAGTGAGAGAGAAACCCAAGGGGCTTCTCAACTTCAGTTCTCACAGGTGTTTCCCCATCTGTGGTCTTGCTGGGAATAGCACAGGATGAAAAGCATTACAGTTTGGGTTTGGTGTTGCACACTCAAGAGGCTGAGGCAGGAAGATAGCATATTCTCAGGTCAGCCTGAGCTACCCAGTAAGGCTTTGTCTCAAAAAAAAAAAAAAAAAAAAAGAAAGAAAGAAAGAAAGAAAGAAAGAAAGAAAGAAAGAAAGAAAGAAAGGAAAGGAAAGGAAAGGAAAAATAAATGCAGGAGAGGCAAAGGGAAGGATAAGGTTGAAAGTAAGTGCTTGCCCTTCTCTGTTGGAATTACTACCCTGCCTAAGATTACATCATCCTGAAAGATCCCTAGTTCTCAGCAGTCTCTGTGTGTGTCCTGTTTGTAAGAGAGGGTGTGCCACACACCTGCCTTGGGTTTTACCAGGGCCTGACAATTGCTATTTAATCAAATGTTACTTTGCTGCTTGTTGGTTCAACAGGGTCAGGTCATCGGCTCCAGAAGCATCACCTACCATGAAATCTGATTTTCTGTGTCTACTCTCCTTTCTCCCTGTCCACATCCTTTACTGCCATGTTTTCAACTTGGAAAAGAGCCCTCTTTCAGAGAGCCAGTCTCCTCTTCACATCCAGAACAAGTCCTCTGTTTGCCTGAATGCCCACACTTAGCAAAAGAAGGGATTTGTTTTATGGTGGGGGGGAGTGGGGTGTAGATTCTTTTTTCCCTCAAATCTCTATGTCTACTGGATGCTGTTCATGGTAGGCACTGTGGGGAGCATAAAGATAAAGAAAGATCTCACAAGTTTCCCTAGGAATTGATGGCCCAAAACGGGGGAGAGATAAAGATAAAGGGTTCCCAAGACATGGAGACAAAACACTATAGAGAGGGATTTTTCTGATTTGGGAAAATCTCAATAGAGGTCACTGTTTGAACCATCTTTTCAGCCCTTAAAGTTTAAATGCTGTTCCAGGGACCCATATGGTAGAAGGAAAGAACCAACTCCTGCACTACAGTTGTCTTCTGACCTTGATACAAGCACTGTGGTTCGCACCTACACACACACACACACACACACACACACACACACACACACACATAAATAAATGTGTGGGGGGGGGACGACAAGTTTTTTGTTGTTGTTGTTTGTTGTTGTTGTTGTTGGATTAAAAAGTATTAGTTCACCACTTGCTCTGTGCCAGGCATTGTGCTGGTGAAGAAATGTTCAGAAATAGGAAAGCGTATGGCTGTTGAGAAAATGATCTTTAGTTGTCAAAGGCAGAGGGTAAGGAGAGGGCTAGAGTATCGTCTAGAGTACCTGGAGGGCCCCAGAGGGTCCTGGCAGCTGGCAGCCACATTGCAGAGTCTGTAAACCCCACTTAACAGTTGAGGACCTTTACCTAGGTACAGGTGATGATGGTCAAATTCAAAGGACTTACACAGAGAAGAGGACTTGGAGCTGCTACTTCAGCATGTCCAGGCCACTCTATTCAGACATTTGCTTTCCATAAGAACTGAGTTTTATCCTTTTCTGCAGTAGCTTGAGAAAACTGTACTGTTTCAAGAAAGCTGCTCAGATTTCAAGGAGGCACACCTAACCACTTAATAAGTAACAGGGTCTCCCTCCCCTTCTCAGAGTTGTCATTTATTAAGAGATAGTTGTAATATAGATTTAAGCACAGTTGCTAAAATAGAGAGCGGGCACTTGAAAATGACTACATACCTAAGATGCAGGTTTCCCAAATAAATCTAGCAAGTTGGGTTTTTTTTTTCATTGATTTGCTTTTAAAAGAATAATTTGTGTGTGAGTGTCTTGTCTGCATGTATGTGTGTGTGATACCACATGTGTGCAGATGCCTGTGGAGTCCAGAAGGTATCAGATCCCCTGGAACTGGAGTTACAGGTGATTGCCTGCAACTGCCATGTGAATGCTGGGAACTGAACCTTGATCCTCTGGAAGAGCAGCCAGTGCTCTTAATCACTGAGCCATCTCTCCAGCCCCCAGCATTGCTTCACTTTTGAATTGTTAACTTTGAGGTAAAGAAATGGACAGTTTCATAAATAATTGAAATGATTCTGGACCAGGATAATAGGGAGTCAGTAATTCTGATATCCAGCTAAAGCAGTTTGATCTTAAAGCTTTCTGGCTGTGGGGTTCAGCCAACACATTAAAGAGAAAGCAGCCTGGCGATTAGTGCTTGGCTATAGCTTCTGTCATTTTATCATCCTCACATGTGTGGTTGAGAAATAGAGGCTTTCCAGGGTGAAGGCATCTGCTTAGGACTGTGGGAAATGGTGGAATTTGGGCTCCTGCTGCTCTCAAATACACACTGACTTCTAGGAGGGCATTTGTTTCCCATCGAATCTTAGGACTACATTAGGGCCCATCTAATCCACTGTTTAGATGAAGAGCCAAGCCTCACCCAGGATCACCAGTTAGTTAGGAGCTAAGCCTAGGAGCCCACTTTCCAAGTCTCCTGCCTTTTGATCCAGTCATATTCCATTACCCCAAGCTCCAGAAATACGTAGTTCAGCTCAACTCGTCACATTCCAGAGCCCAAATAAAACTGACTTTTAATGTTGTGATTTTCATTCCTGAAGAGAAAATGTGGGGGCCAGGAGATTAGAACTTTTAAAAAATGGCTTGTCAAGGGGCTTGAGAGATGGCTTAGTGGTTGAGAACACTGGCTGTTCTTGCAGAGAACCTGGGTTCAATTTCCAGCACCCACGTGGTACCCCCTAATTGTCTGTAAGTCCAGTTTCAGGGGATCCGACTACCTCTTCTGGCCTCTGAGGAAGGCAAAACACCTATATACATAAAATAAAGTTTTAATTTTAAAAGTGACTTGTGGTCGGGTGATGGTGGCACATGTCTTTAATCCCAGCACTGGGGAGGCAGAGGCAGTTGGATCTCTGTGAGTTTAAGGCCAGCCTGTTCTACAGAGCGAGTTCCAGGACAGGCTCCAAAGCTACACAGAGAAACTCTGTCTGGGGTAGGCGGGGTGATTTATGAAGTAGTTAGGCCATTTCTGTTAGCAGAGTCTGGAAATTTATGAAGGACAAGTTGATTTGTTGTCGTATTAGGGAAGATGGCAAATAACTTTTGTTTTGTTTTGTTTTTTGGTTTTTTTGTTTTTCAAGACAGGGTTTCTCTGTGTAGCCTTGGCTGTCTTGGAACTTACAGAGATCCGCCTGCCTCTACCTCCTGAGTGCTGGGATTTAAGGTGTACACCACCACCGCCTGACACATTTTGGTACTTTTAAACTGGGAAAATGAAGCACTTGGCTCAGAATTAAAAATGAGACCCAGAAAGCGTCCTAAGGTTCCAAGGACAGTATAATATATCTCGCCTCTTCCTGAAGCTGAGAAAATTACCTGTGAAGCAAACAAGAGCCTCCCTGGTTAACAAAACCCAGTTTCCTGGGTAACCAATGCCTGCAGTGCCAAGGAGGAGCAGCAGTGTAGGCAGTTGTCTATTCTTACCAAGCTCCAATGAGTAATTCTTATTGGTTAAAAATAGTATATTACAGCACCAGGCAGTGATGGTGCACACCTTTAATTCCAGTACTTGGAAGGCAGAGGCAAGCAAATCTCTGTGAGTTTAAGGCCAGGGTAGCCATGGCTACACAGAGGAAACCTGAAAAGTGGAATGATAAAGCTGAAATCTCTTAGGGGTGTCTGTGTGTGTGTGTGTGTGTGTGTGTGTGTGTGTGTGTGAAATCTGTTGATCTGGATGATGTGGATAGTCTAGTGTTCCTTTTTTACACAAGATCTTACAATGAGGCCCTAGCAGGCCTGGAACTTAACTGTGTAGACCAGGCTGACTTTGAACTCAGAGAGATCTGTCTGCCTCTGCCTCCCAAGTGCATCACCATGCCTGGCAAGGTATATTTTCAAATGTACCACCTAATTAATATTCAAGTCATCTTCCACCCCTCCTTTTAGATTAAGGTTATAATTTCCAATGTACTGATAGAAAACATAAGAGGAAAGAGACAATATGGGGGTTATCCTCCACCTACAGATGTCCTGAATACAGTCTAAGTCTATGCTCTAACTGGCGTTTACCCACCTCTAAAAGTCTCACTTTAGATACACATTGTATAAGAACCAGTTTACTGAAGACTTCTGTTTTGTCTAGGCGTTGGTGGCTATTTGTTTTGTTTTGTGTTTACATAAGTTCTGGCTGTGTAGCTCAGGTGGTGAGGCCTTGTGATCCTCCTGTCTCTGCCTCCCAAGTGCACTCCAGGAGTGTACCGTTGTACCTGTAAAGAAAATAGGTTTAAAGTTGCTCGGTGACTTTAATATGAAGACATCTGGGAGAAGCTCTTCTTTAGTGGTGTTTAACATGGCCAGCTATCGAACACTTCCCATTCAATCCTGGTTGCTTTTGTTTTCCGTCTTCTATGTAGATCTGGAGCCCATACAAGCAGCCAGGATGTACAGGAGACCTCGACGGTCGGATTGAAGATGATTCCCGCTGCCTCTACACCCATGAAGAGTATATCAGCCTTGTATTGAACAGTGGGAGTGGCCTGTCCCACGACTACGCTAACCAGTCTGTCCAGGAAGACCCCCGGATGATGGCTTTCTTTGACTCTTTGGTGCGCCGTGAGATCGAGGGCTGGAGCTCTGACTCAGACAGTGACCTCAGCGAGAGTACCATCCTTCAGCTGCATGCGGGGGTCAGTGAGCGCTCTGGCTACACCGACTCAGAATCCTCAGCCTCACTGCCCCGCTCCCCACCTCCCACAGTGGACGAGTCTGCTGACAACGCCTTCCATCTGGGGCCATTACGTGTCACCACCACAAATGCAGTGGTGTCAACCCCAGCAACGCCGACCTGTGAGGATGCAGCCTCTCGCCAGCAGCGCCTGTCTGCTCTGCGGCGCTACCAGGACAAGCGCCTCCTGGCCCTGTCCAATGAGTCCGATTCTGAAGAGAACGCCTGTGAGGCTGAACTGGACACAGATCTCTTCCCTCGGCCAAGGTCGCCCAGCCCCGAGGATGGATCCAGCAGTTCCAGCAGCTCTAGTAGCTCGGAGGAAGAAGAGGAACTGAACCAACGCCGAGCCAACACCCGGCAGCGAAATGCCATGCGGAGGCGACAGAAGACCCCCCGGGAAGAGCGGCCCAACGCTCCAGTCAAGCCCACCAACACCTACATTGGGGAGGACAATTACGACTACCCCCAGATCAAGGTGGATGACCTCTCCTCCTCCCCTAACTCCTCCCCTGAGCGGAGTGCTTCCAATCTGGATATCCAACCAAGCCGGGCACCACCAACTGCCAACATGGAATCAGTAGAGCGAAAGATTTATAAAGCTTACAAATGGCTCCGCTACTCCTATATCTCTTACTCGAATAACAAAGATGGAGAGACCTCTTTAGTGTCAGAGGAGACAGATGAAGGGAGAGCAGGAACCAGCTCCAAAGACAACCCAATCCCTTCTTCCAGTAAAGAAGCCTGCTGCCCAACCCAGAGAGATCAGGAGCTGCCCCCTGAAGGCTGCAGCAAAGACGCTTGCAAAGAAGGGACTTCCACCAGAAATCCCAGCAGTGGCGCATGCCATGAGCACAGTAGCCATCCCTGGGCAGAGGTGCCAGAGGGCACCTCTCAGGACACTAACAATAGCGGCCCTCTAGAACACCCTTTTGAAACCAAGAAGCTCAATGGAAAGGCCCTGAGCAAGGCCCTGAGCAGCCGGGCTGAGGAGCCACCCTCTCCTGTCCCCAAGGCATCTGGTTCCACTCTCAACAGTGCGTCTGGCAACTGTCCCAGGACCCAGTCTGATGACAGTGAGGAGAGGAGCCTTGAAACCCTCTGTACCAACCACAACAATGGACACTTGCACCCCCGACCCCCTCACCCCCACAATAACGGGCAGAACTCTGGGGAGCTGGAGACAGTGGTCTACTCGTCCCCAGGACACCCAAACACTGACCATGATAACTCATCCCTGACAGGGACATTTCTACACAAAGATTGTTGTGGGTCTGAAATGGCCTGTGAGACCCCCAATGCTGGAATGAGAGAAGACCCCACTGACCCCTCAGCCATGGACAGCAGCAAGGTTGTTCATGGCCACAGTGGCCTCAAAAGGCACCGAATTGAATTGGAAGACACAGATTCAGAGAATTCCTCCTCAGAGAAGAAATTAAAAACATGATAAATACAAAGGGAAAACAAAAAGCTACAAAAAGTAGCCTTACAAAATAATTTTTTCTTGTTTAGTGAACACAGAGGAAAGGAAAAAGTATTAAAGGCACATAAAACCAGAGCCTGAACCGTGTCTGCTGCTGCTCCCTTCTGTTCACCACTCTGCAGTGGGTCGGAATGTCCAGCTGGCACTGCCTCGTGCTCCGCTGAGAAGGGGGGAGACTCCCAATGGCTGTTTGCTAGTGAGATGCAAGCATAGCATTCCTGTGCAGGCTCTGTGACAATGACCCTGTCTTGGGACATTTGGCTTGTTCTTGTGTGTACGTACCCGCTGGCACATGTGGGCTTGTTGTTTTATGAGGCCTTTCTTTTAACTGTCCATCGGCGAAGCCATCTCACCTGTTCATTGTTCACGCGACATAGGTGTTCTGGTCTTAACGAAGATTGTCCCCTAGATGAGATTGTGCTGCAGTGAATTGTAGATTTACGCTAGCCAAACGGAGAGGCCTGCCTTCAGCTCATTGGCTGTGCTGAAGAGGAAAATATGGCTCCTTTTTCAGTGCTCTGTGTTTTCTCCAGCTAACACATCGTCAAGCACTTACTGTGACTCTGTGAAACATCGTTCCTGCTAAGAAGAGGTTGACACTTAGCTCAGATCCTGATAGTGTCACTGTTCGCAGAAGGGGCAGAGCCACCCTCTGAGCTGTGAGGTCCATACAGTAACTAGTGAACAACACACTTTAACCACTTACATGCTGGCTCCTAAGAGGCACTCAAGGCCAGCAGGTGCTTCCTTGGCTCCAAGTAACGGAGTCCAGGCATACTGAAAGAAGAAAGGACCCCTCGGGAGAGCTTTTTACCCAAACTAATAAAATGGCTGGTAGAAGGATGCTAATGAGTTTTAGTAAAGAGCAGAATGCGGTACTGTATCCGGTGCCAGTCCCATCAGGCAGAATGTGGTACTGTATCCGGTGCCAGTCCATCAGGCAGAATGTGGTACTGTATCCGGTGCCAGTTCCATCAGGCAGAATGCGGTACTGTATCCGATGCCAGTCCCATCAGGCAGAATGTGGTACTGTATCCGGTGTCAATCCATCAGGCAGAACTGGCAGGCCTGGCACCTTCCCTCAGGCTTGGAGTTGTCAGAAGCTGTGGGGTCCATGTCAACTTTGCAGATTAGTGGGCATCTGTTAGGAGGCAGGGAGTGACGAGAGACAATTCTCTGGTTTGTCTCCTGGCTCCGAGAAGACATTCTGTTCTGTTGAAGTAGGTAACAATGGAGAGAAGAAAATATCAAATTTCCAGTGTATAGTGGTGATGGTAGTTCCTGAGTTGTCATTGAAGGGTTGTGCAAGACAGGAAGACTTGAGGATACCCAGATGTCCTGTTGGTGTAGATGTTAAAGCAGGAGGAACAGTGGAACGTTGGATGCAGAGGTGCTAGACAGCTGAAGCCTGGCTGGAACTGGCCTAGGGAGGACTTAGCTGAAGGCAACTGTGGCCTCACTGATGAAGCGTTCCTTTCAGAGGAGGACCTGTCCTGCTGGGATGGAGCCAAGAGAAGACCACCTGTGGAAGCTGAAGAATGGATGATGTTCAGTGCTGGGAGCCAGGGTTCTTATAAAAGGAAGGTGGTTGATAAGAGCCAGGAGGATATCTCATCTTGCTGAGCTTTTTGGAAGGGAGATGAGCTTAGTATCTGATGTGGCTGAGGTATGAAAGCACAGTTTGGGAAGGAGAGGAAGGCGCCTAAGTAGAGTGGGGATGCATACAGTCAGCGGCTGGACTCTTCCTGGGGAGTGGGACAGCAGTTCTGTAACCACCTTAGAATTACTTTAGATTTGTAATTAAAATGGTTCTATGATTTATCTTTTGACTATTCACAGATAATTGTAAATTCTGGTTTTATAAGCCCAAGTCATTTTACATTTGCTTTTCCAAAATGATTAAATTGGAATTTTTAATCCTTTATATACAAAAAAGTTATAACCACTCAGTGTGTGTGTCTCTTCCCCTTAGTCAGCATGGTTCTTCTATTCCATTTTATCTTAATCTAATCAGATAGATTCACACTCCGCATATCTTCCTTGAGGCAAAAGAAAGCAAAATTAGCTAATGATAATTAGTTTCCAACTGCCAAGTGTCAGTCTCATTTGGGTACTCAAAAACATTCAAAAGTCAAAGTACACTTAGTCCATAACCATAGACGCCGAGAGAGGTCATCCTTTGAGGGATGTGTTCCATCCTGGGGAGAGACTTCCAAGAGATGGTCCCTGAAATAACCACCAGAGCAAGAGGAAGAGGGATGCTGCTTTTAGCCACTCTGCACTCCTTTCCAGAGGTCTTGTTTTGTGTAGTCCTGGTACTGGAAGCCTGATGTGAACCACTTCAAAGTTCCCTTTGCCTGGACCATTGTAGAATCCAGGCCTCCCATGTTGAGGACATATTTAATCCCCAAATCCTTCCATGATGGTTGTTTTTCCTAGCAGGAGAGGGCACTGATCAGGCTAAGAACTCCTGGAAGTGCCTCTTAAGGATTTTTTCTGCATCCTGTACATAATGTTTTAAGCAGCAGGTTCAGGTACGTGAATGTTTCTCTTCCCTTTCTTTACCACCTGGTTTTGTAAATGATTCTCAACCGATAAATGAATTCATTGAGTTGTTGGTTTGAGGCAAAAGAAGTTTGCAACTGTGCTGATTTAATAGGAGTCTCGTGTTGTCTGTCAAGGTGCCTTCCTCTGCTGAAGCCTTACCTCCTCACAGCCCTGCCTCTTCTCACCCAGCAACGCTGACTCTTCTCTGTGTATATGCAAATAAACCTATTAATCACTTCTCCCCGGCTTCCTCCTCTCTTCCTGAGAAGACTTGGTTGCTTAGACACCCTCTTCCTTTATTTCTTTGCTGTTTCAATGCCTGCCTGGTTGGAAACTTGATTTAGAGCTACACTGAAGACTAAAAGACAAATCCCATGTCTAACAATGGTCATGTCACTTGTAGGTATTGGGACAGAGGTCGCATCTGAATAAAAGGGAGATGCTGCGTCCCTTAGTCTCCCTCTCCAGGCTTAAGGGGACTCAGGATAGTGAGCTCCTGTACCTGACATTTTTATTAGTTGGAATTTCACATTGTAGCAAAGTAACATGGCCAACCCCTCCCCCAGTGGATGTTTTCAGATGCTTCCAGATACCATGATGCTCTTCATGACATCTTTGATACATTGCACACAGAGAACAGAGTGGAAAATAGCAAAACTTGTGTCATTCTATAAAGCTGTTGGATATAGGAGGCTGTGTTTAACTGAAACATTCCTACCAACCAAGATGCTTGTCAGGAGAACACTCCAAAGGAAGCCTGTTCTTCCCTTACAACCCATACAACTGTGTAGTACACGAGGGGGATCACCAAAGTGCAGTCACACTCCTAAGTCCTGGGCTTGTCCCCAATGGCAGGATAATGGCTTTAATTTAATGCAGGAGGAGGGAAATAAGCTTGGGTGTTTAATTTTATTGTATTAAGATTCAAAAAATGACCGGGTGGTGGTGATGCATGCTTTTAATCTCAGCACTGGGGGGGAGGGGGCAGAGGCAGGCAGATTTCAGTGAGTTCCAGGACAGCCAGAACTGTTACACAGAGAAACCCTGTCTTGGGAAAAAAGAAAGAAAAGAAAAGAAAAAGAAAAAGAAATTAGTCTCAAAGTAAAGCCCAGGCTAGTCTCAAACTGACAGCCCTCCTGCCTCAGCCTCAGCCTCCTGAGTGCTAAGTTTGAGAATGTAAGCCACCATTTTCTGCTTGTACTCTTTTTAGGACAAGTTTTCACTAGCTAGCCTCTACTGCTTAGAGTGCTGGGATTGCAGATGGACACACACACACAATTGCACCCAGCTCTAAGGTCATGGTCTTCAGCAAGCTGTGTGGCTCTCTAGTGGGGTTATTCCGGTCAGAGTGTTTATTTGTCCTTGAGCATTCATACTAGAATGAAATAACATGAGTTTGAGTCAACAGTAACTTTCAGAGTCTTCTAAGATCAGTGCTCTGACAGTATAAATGAAAATCTGATTCATCTGGACTCTAGCTGTATTTCATTGCTAGTAGGTAAGAAGCTTCCTGGGATGGAAACTTAGAGACAAAGGTGACTGGGGAATAGGCCTATGCAATACTCCACAGGAGGAGTCAGTTCCAGTCACAGTGTGTTGAAGGGTCCTGTGGAGCTTATCCTACTGTGAGGAAGTAGGTCATCTAGCATTTCAGATGGCCTAAGTTGGGAAATGACTCCTTTCTGAGCTCATGGGCTATTCCAGCAGAACTTTATCTGTCGCTACTCCACCAATGCTAGCTAGGGAAAGACACACACTAAGATACCCAGGTGCCCACAAGAGTAATTGGACAGGAGAAAAGTTGTGTTGTTCAGGGAAGTTGAAAGGAAAGAAGACATTGAGGATTTAGAAAACTTTTAAAGACTCCGCAGTGGAAGAGATGGAATGTTAAGCAGAGTCAGCAGCTTCCTGGATCCACATAGCTAGCATTCAACATGCTGATTAGGGGAGGAGGCCCAGTGGTATAGTACTTGCCTGCTATACCTCAAGCCCTGAGTTTGATATTCAGGGCTGAACAACAGAACAAACACCAACCAAAACTCTCAGGTACAAACCCAGATTCATCATTGAAGTCAATAGAAATGTAAAGAAACTCTCCTAGAATCCATAAAAAAAAAAGGAAAAAGGAGGGGGTAGAATATGATAACCAGAACACCAGCATAGTTAAACATGGTGAGTGTGGTGTTGATTGGCAGGATTTCACACGGAAATGCACTTCTCTTTGACTGTTCCAGACTGGTTATTGAAGGCTTGCACCTGCCGATATATTTTTATTATTTTAGTTACATATGTGGGTGTGTGAGTATGTGCATGTAATTGCAGATGCCCACCAAGGCCAGAGGCATCAGATCTCTTAGAACTTGAATTTACAGGTGATTGTGAGCCACCTAATGTAGGTGCTAGAAACCAAACTTTGGTCTTCTGCCAGAATAGTAGTCACTCTTAACTGCCTGGGCCACCTCTCTAGCCCCCACCTTATCCTTTCAGTGTCTCAGAGTCAGTGTATCCCAACATTTCTAGATGCTCCAAGACCCCACCTTAAATAATCCCAGCTAAGTTCTTTTCTTCTTAAGAGACCTGTGAGTGGAAATAGCACTGAATTCACACAAGAAGCGCATCCTACATTGCTTTTGAGTGAAGAACATCCATGAGTTGGGCAACTCTCCCGTACTCCTGGGAACTGTCAGGTCCCTCAACTCTCAAATGTGGCTCCTCCTGTTTGAGAACCTTGGCTCAGAAGACTCTCTAGATTCTACTCAAAACATTACCATTTTTTGAGACATTTCTATAGTGCCCACCAGAGCTGGTTGGTGAACCAAGATCTTTGGCAAATACACAACTGCTCAAAGCCTCAAGCTCCTCTGTGTGTGTGTGTGAGAGAGAGAGAGAGAGAGGAGAGAGAGAGACAGAGACAGAGACAGAGCCAACATAGGGTCTATATATGTGTATGTTTGTAAAAGAATGTGATGTACAATAAGGCACATATCTGAGAATGACATGATATAGAGAGAACCCAAGTACTTAATGTTGTCAGCACATCTCTTTGTTGTGCTTGTTGACATCCATGTGCACACCACTAGAAGAATTTTGGATAGCAGTCCACCAAGCAACATGGGTAGTCAGCATCCTTCAGAGAAAGAATGGCTGTTTATCAGCAGTCTCAGAAACCACAGTAAAAGAGAGTGTTCCCATTCCTGTGGACCCAATGAAGCTTGCTTTGGAGCCTTTGGCATGACCTCTGAGATCCCTGGCTCAGAAAGCAAGCCCTAAGGGCTGGAAAGCTAAAAGTCAGGCATGGCTGACAGAGACCTCAGATCCTTGCTCACAGCAAGCTTACAAAGGTTGGAATAAGGAGTGGTAAATTTTATTAAGCTAAAAATCTTAATATGGTGATACTGGAGAAGACCTGGGCCTTAAGAGCTGGGACATCAATGTTCTCTGAGATTCTGAGGTCAAGTACTTGGACCTGGTGCAGGACCAACCCTAAGACAACCTGGAAAGGGGGAAGTCATGGAAAAGTGCTGCATACGCCAAAGAAGACTTAACCAGTTTTCCATGCAGAGTTGATTGAGAGAGTGCATATGTGTGTGCGTGTGCGTGTGCGTGTGCGTGTGCGTGTGCGTGTGCGTGTGTGTGTAAAGTCTCGGTATTTCATCCAAGAAGAAGCTAAACTATAAACACCAACAAAGAAGTCTGACTGACAGACCAAAGAAGGAAAGGTGAAGTTCACTGCCCCGTCTCTATAATAAAGGAGTCAGATTGGCAACTGGGGCGGGAGGGGGCGGAGCATGGCTGTGGTTCTTGGAGGGGGCAGAGAAATGTGGGAGAGGTTTTGCATTGCTGGTGGAAAGAGGCAATGGAATTACACTTAAATTACAATTTACTTGAAACTTAAATAGTTTCAAGTAAAGCACATCTGCCTGAAGAAAAGACCAGAACACAGGGTATCATGGGGCAGACAAGACATAGAGGAGTCAGAACCTAGAGAAGCACTGTTGAGCTGACACTACAGGAGAGGGGAAAGGGCCCTCATCAGCTGCTCCTGTTCCATTATAAAGGTGGAAAATGAATTCCTAGTTGGTGGTGATCATGAAGGCTAGCGCTTTCCTAAGGTCTCACTGCTTCCTGCATATGCTCCTGGGTCCTTCCCACATGAAGTTCCATTGGGCCTCACTCCTACCAAGTGACTGGGGCTTATTCACAATATACTACAGCAATAGTAAGGGATTGTGAATGGTCACATGGAAGCAGGTTGACAAAAGAGCATTTGGAGCATTTGGCAAAAGAGTGAATTGCATTTGGACCACCCTTGTCCTACATCCAAGAGTTTGTGCCCCTGACCACATTGGCAGCTGATTTGGCTGTGAAAAACCATCAACATGCTAGGGGGCTAGGAAAAAAGACAAAAGGAACTAGAGAGTAGGAGCCTGATTGCTTAGTTCTAAAGCACACATGGGCTTAAGACCAAGAGAAGACACTTCAAGAAAAGGCTTGATACCTGTGTATAGTGGTGCATGGCTTTGGGCCCAGCACTTTGGAGGCAGAGGCCTACACATCAAGTCCCAAGCCAGCCAGGAGAGGGGGGAGGGGAGGGTCCTGATGAGGAATCATTTCAAATGCAATCCTCCCAGTTACAAGCCCAACCATATTACCTTCTTGAACGTTGGGTCTTCTTCTTAACTAAGATACGCAGTTTGCAGCTCATGTCTCTTTATGGCTTGGGGTGAATTTGTTTTGTGGTACAAAGGGTTGAACCCACTCAGGAGGTAGATCAGCACAGAAGGTGGACAGCTGGCCTCAACTCTACCTGCTTCCATACCTGATTTTCTGTGGGAGCAAGAGTTGGCTGGCATAAAGGTCAGTTCATGGGTCACCAATTCCCCAAGCTTGAACCTCCCATGGAGAGACCTAATGGAGATGACACAGATCTGAGTCCCTGCTGCTGCCATGGGATGCTACTCACGTTCTTCCTCAGTCAGCAGCTATTCTATTTCTATCTACACACACACACACACACACACACACACACACACACACACACACACACACACACAGTTTCAAGTCCAGTAGGCAAACACTTTCTAAGACCAGAAGATAAGTTCCTCCTGAGGGGACAGTTTAGACCTGCTAAACACTGCACCCTCTTTACCCTCCAAATATACACAAAAGGAATCCAGAGGAAGGTGAGTTCTTAGATTCTACTTGGAATAAAGGAAGGAAATGAATGGTAGGCTGGGCT